CCAATAAATTGGAGGCTTCCTCCGGTGTCTTAGCCAATAAAGCTCCTCCAGCAGCTGCATCTACGAAGGCTCTCGTTTGCCCCAACAACCCGTTATAGAAGAAACAAAGTTTTTGATCATCTGGAAAACCATGTCGAGGGCACCTTCGCAACAACTCTCTAAATCGATCCCACGCCTCGTATAACGGCTCCGAGTCTTGCTGCTTGAATTGAGTAATCTCGCTTTTCAGTTGCATCGACTTGCTTGGAGGAAAATATTTAAGCAAGAACTTCTGGTTTAGCTCCTCCCAAGTCTTAATGCTCCCATCAGAAATCATCGACAACCAACTCCGAGCTTTATCCCTTAGAGAGAATGGAAATAGACGCGGTCGTATGGCATCCTCGGAGACACCATTGTACTTGACCAAATCACAAATTTGCAGAAACTGGGTCAAGTGTTGGTTCGGATCCTCGGTCGGGTGTCCACCAAATTGGTCGTTCTGCACCATCGAGATATAGGAGGGCTTCAACTCGAAATTATTCGCATTGACGGGTATATGCGCAATCCCGCCAAAAATCTTATTAAATTCAGGCCGAAAGTGGTCACGAATCGCTTGCTTCTGTTGTTCTTGCTCTGCCATTATGCACTTTGACTTGCCCCTTCTTTTTCTAGTTGTTGCACTATTGCGTCTAGCAAATGCTTCAACTTCGTCAATCAGGGGTTGTAGTGGTGCACTTTTAGAGCGAGTTAACATGCACGTCCTTAAATCAAGAATAAGAAAGATTATGTCGCAAATAAATAAAAATATCTAAATTAAAATTTTCACTACCTATCCTAATATTGATATAACTAATTAAATTGGTCCCCGGCAACGGCGCCAAAAACTTGTTCGCCTATATTTTAAAGCTCGACCGCAAGTGTACAACTTCGCTGTAGTATGTGGCAAGCAAGGACGTATCCCAAGAGACCAAACAACCAATTAATCAAGTACTAGATTATGATAGTGCCAATTTTATTTAGACGACCGAATATAAGATTGATTAACTAAACTAAGAAAATAATTCAAAAGATAAGAAAGCGATAACAAGAAAACAACTAGAAAAACACTTAAGAAGAATATATGGGAATGGTAGATTCTAGGACCATGGATTCAATTAACAGTTGGGTTCCTTCAAATATATCACAATTAACTATTTTCTTTATCTACCCTATAAGATGATCACAAAATTAGCCTATCGTCCCTCTCGAGATCGATAAAACCGTAGATTAAATCACATATATTAGCGTCTCCACTCAACACATGCAATTCAACTCCAAAAAGATTAAAAGACCCAAAATCCTCACAATTACCTACTAATCTCTCGATTCAAGCAAGTAAATTATGTCAAGTATTAAAGACCTAATATTGAACTCATCTCTCGAATTATGAACAATATTGTCAAACATTTAAAAGAATTGATCAAGTTCTAAACATGGAATAAGAACAAAATACTTGAATAGGGTTCAAAAGAAAAACAATTAATTATAAATAAATCATCCAAAATCCCAACATATTAATCTACTACCAAGTCTTAGAATCAATAAATCTAGCTACTCATGTTCGAATTCAAACACATAGACATATTCAAAATCGACATGATCAATAAAAGTTCAAGAGGAAAGAAGAAATAAAAACTAGGAATCTCGTCGATCTTTCAATCTTCTTGATTCATTCGTAGTTGATCTTCTTTTTGCTCCACAATTTCTTCCCTTGTGTGTTCTAGGGCTCTCCTCTTTTTGTTCTCTATGTTCCTCCCCCAGAATAGGGTTAATATGCTCTTTTTAATGTCCAAAACTTCTCTCCTTATCCAAAAAGGCAAGAGATTAAAAATTGTCCGCGCGCGCGACACGACCTGACACGCCCGTGTCACAGGTCGTGTCAGGTATCTGGGCCTCGAATTCTTCTATTGAGGTGACATGGGTCGTGACACGACCTGGGAGACCGTGTCACGTGTCGTGTCACACCACAACATGCACGTTTTTGTCCGTTTTGCTCGTTTATTCTATTTTTCTCATCTGTGCATCAATCCTTCATCATCCTGGGGGTCCTAGGTACTCCACGTGCACCTCCAATAGCCACAAGCTCTACAAATATGTGAAAATATCTACAAAACAAGCACGCGTAACACCTTTCCAACAAATAGAGAATTAAAGCACAAATATGCAATTTATACACCAATAATGCGACAAATAAACTCTAGATACTATACGAATATGGTGTAAAATCACACATGAACACTGGAGACGTGGCGGCATTGCGCAAACCATTTGGCGGAGGAGCAGGAGGCCGACAATAGAAAAATGCACATGATGGTTGCAGTCGGCGATGTGGTTGTGGTTGTGGCGGTCTGTTCGCAGGTGTGGCGGACCTGGTGGTTGTTAGAGGCGGTGGCAGTCTATGACGGCGAAGAGACTGATATTGTCGGCGGTTGCGACTGGACCGGCGGGATGTAGGCGACGGCGGGAGGAGGAGGCCAATGGCTGCATGTCGTGGTGGTGCGTCAGTGTGTATGTATTGTTTGTGTGTTTGAAAAGTGTGTGTGTGTGTGTGTGTGTGAGTGTGTGTGTGTGTTGTTGTGTGAGAGAGAACCAATTTGGGTGGGTTTGGGTGGTCCCCACGTGGATGAGTTGAAATCTAGTGTAATGTTTGTTTTACCATTACTTAATGGTCAAATATAAATACTTGACCACAATTTATACACTTAATTACTAGAATTGTAACACCCCGCCTTATCGTGAAATCAGAGTGCGTAATTTCGCAAAGTCTTTTAAAAATAAAATCTTTTAATTTGCGAAAACTGATTCGGGGTGCTACCGTAAAACGTGACTTATTCTGAGAAACCGTTATTTTAATTTTTAGCAAAATCTACGGTTTACTGAAAGCATTAATTATCTGAAAGTCTGATCAAAAGATAAGTTCGTCAAAACATCAAAATCAGCGGAAACGTAGCATCATCAAAATATATACAATCACATGCATAAAAGTCCTGAATCATCCGTCATCTCACACCTCCAGCCCGACATCCTGACCTGAAAAATATGATAAAAGTGGGTCGTGAGCACTAAAACACTGTGCTCCGTGGAAACTCATACTAAAGTAAAACAGTGAAAATAATAACAATATCATGATCCTGGCATATGTAACTGAACTAAACTGAAACTGATAACTGATATCTGATACCGGTCTGAATAATCTGATACTGATCTCGTGACATAAGTCACCAGTCTGAAACTGAACATCTGCCGGCAAAGCCGGACACCATGTGCA